AAAGAATTAGGTATCAATATATATTATTAAATTGATTATTTATAAAATTATATAAAATATAAATCAAAAATTTGTTTAAAAACTTTTTAAATAAACTGTATATTAAAATTTTTATTAATTTATATATATATTCTAATATTATTATTTCAAGAAAAAGGTTTTTTACATTTGTTATTTAAAAATATATTCAGTATTTTCAAAAATTTTTTATGTTATATATAATAAAGTATGTAGATGTACTATATAATGAGAATTTTAATTAATATACTGTAATATAAAAATTAATGTTGGATTTTAAATTCAAAAAAAAATTTTTTTTTATTGTTAAAATCCGTCCAATTGTTTATTAAAAATTTTTTATATTAATTCTTTTTAATATAATATATTGTTATGTGGAAAATATAACATATAAGCCAATCAAATTTAAGATAATATATAGTAATTTCCTGAGGAACAGTTTTTTCACCAAGCAAAATTTTAACAAAAGTAAATGATTCCAAAGTCTTGAAATTCTTTTTTTATTGCAGCAAAAAAAAAAAATTTTTTTAAGTTTTTACGTTGTAATTGTTTTTTCTGACATGAAAAGTTTCACTGACGGTTATTGGAAGAAACATATGCATTACCTGTCATTCATACATTCGATTCATGCATGAGTTTCGATCGCACTCGCGTCAATCTGCCAAATAAATTGTTCTACATACAGTACATCGTGTACCGTATATACTAATTTAACGATTATTATAAGTCATGTACAGATATAGGTATATTCTGTGATGCCATCAGGGCGTGGAGGTGGAAGCAAATTGAAGGTTTGGAAAATTACTTCCCTGTTCTTCGCTTTGATTCATCAATACAGTATCAGTTAAAGCTTATCATTTCCGACTTAATAATATCACGTGGGTTTACTTGATGATTCATTGGTTATTTATAGGAAGATCATAGCACCATACGTTCATTTCACCAGACTTCCTCGTAAGTTTCTTTACGTTATTCTATTTTAGGTTCGACCATGTATTTATAAATCCCGATACTGTAATTAGGTAAATCGTTGTTACAAGATGTCCAATGACCCAGTCACAACTCCTGTTTCTTCTGATCAGCTATCGGAAAAGCAGAAAGCATTGAAGGGTCTTCTCTACAACGCAAATTGTGAAGAATTACTCCAAGATCGATTAAGAGCTAAAGAATTAATGCACCAATTTAATAATTCCAAACCGTGCATGTTCAATACTAAAGAGCATGATGAGACTAGGGGGAAGATTATTAAAGAATTGTTAGGAAGTGTTGGCGATGAATGTTACATAGAACCACCATTTTATTGTGATTATGTGAGAAATTTAGTTGTTAGAACTGAAAGGCATAAGAAGGATTATTAATTACATTCTAAAAATAATTATAGGGTTATAACATTCACATCGGCAATAGTTTTTATTCGAACTTTAACTGCATTATCTTGGATTGTAACCGTGTGGATATTGGGGACCGAGTAATGTTTGGCCCTAATGTACAATTATACGCTGCCACACATCCTGTACAGCCAGAGGAGAGAGCCAAAGGTGATGAACTTGCATTTCCCATTAAGGTAGGGTATATTGAAAAGAACAAACATTTAAATTCTTGAGATAACTTAATTATTCATGGTGTTTGCATAGATCGGAAACGACGTTTGGATAGGAGGCGGCGCAATTATTTGTCCTGGAATCACCATTGGTGATGGGGTATGTTAATATTTCAATAAAGTATTTTTTGATATGATGATATCAAGCGTATTTATTATTGATGAATTAGGTTACAGTTGGTGCAGGTTCCGTGGTATATATAACAATTTTTATCATTTTTCAAAAGATAAAAAGCTAGTTATTTTAATTTAATTTATTGATATTTCGACTAACAATGTTTTTACAAATATCCGTACTTATATCAAACAGGTAACAAAAGATGTTCAGCCATATGTTGTCGTTGCCGGAAACCCTGCAAAAATTATTAAACACTTGAAGCAATAGAATATTAAGAGTCAATACTCAAATCTTTAATTTTATGAATGATCATTAAATTGTTTATAAAATGGTTTGAATCATTGAAAAAGGAGATAATTTTTGATAATAACAACTGATATAAATAACAAATAAATTTCATTATTATTACAAAATAAATAAATATGTATATATTAATATTTTTAATATTTTTATATTAATATCAAAATATTTAAAAGGTCATTATGTTAGAAACTTTATTAGTGTATAAAGAATATCGTGAATAGTTTTTTTTACTCATAACGTTATAAATTAAAACAATATTAATTAAAAAATTTTTTTTAATCTTATATAAAAAAATATTATAAAAATAACAATTAAATTTATTAGATATTTTTTCTTACATATTAAGATACAATATATACAATTTAAATTTTAAACTTGAAATTTTTTTACTTGAATCATTAAACAAAGATCCCAAGTTATGATGAGATATTTTCATATATTTGAAACTCAGACAACATATTACCGCCATTAGACTTGAAACATTAAATATATGCATCATCAATCTTGATCTTCATCGTCGTCTTCGACTAATAGAATGAATGAAATTAGATTCAAGATGACAGAAGCGTACATAAAGATTCAATGCTTACTCGTTAAATCATTTAAACTCGGGAGCTCAATCTCAAGCTGTTCGGCTTTTGTTTGAAAGAATAAAATTATGTTAACTCAAGTCGTCTAAATTTATCAAGGTGTACTGTACCTGCAATTGCATTGGTTGGATCGGGAAGGCCTTCAAAATCCAAAAGTTTACTCGTATAAATGGCCTGAGCATGTGTGGTGTAATTGAATTGCGTGGTTTTGCTCGGATCGTATGCTGAGGAATCTTTTGCAGATTCCTCACAAGATATAATTTGTCTAACAATTTCGGTATCCTTCATACAATTTAATTCTTCTCGGTATGTATATATAATGTCTTTCAATCTTTCTGCAGAAGGTCGCTTGGAGACTTCTGCATCCAAGCATTCATTGATTAAATCCAAAAGCAATTGAGGAACCTGACATCTGATTGCAGGACGGAGTCCATGACAAATTTGGAGTGCAAGGTTCCCATCGTGCGGTTGGTCATGAAAAGGTGGATAGCCCGTGAACAATTCAGTCATGAGGATTCCAAATGAGTACACATCGGATGCCGTAGTATACTCCTTTCCTTTCAATACCTCTGGTGCAACGTACGGAAGCACACCAAAAACATTTTCAGAAGATGATTCTTGCGATACTGGTTTGCACAAACCAAAATCCGCAATAAACGAAGAATTGTAAGCGGAAAAAAGAATATTTCCACTATGAAAGTCTTTGTGTACTAACCCAGCTCTATGAATGTTAGCGAGTCCTCCAATTATACTTTCCAAGATGCTTAATTTGGTATGCCAATATAATTTAATGTACTTTTTATCAAGCATCTGTCGAAGGCTTCCTCCGGGAGCATACTTCATGACTATCGCATAATCACATTTTTCCGTGTCTTCTGTGATTCCGTATATCTGAATTGCGTCATCAGTGAATTGGAGTTGGTTCCTAACCTGTGAATATTAAATGGCATGAATTTACGTCTATTTCCACTGATATAAGTTTTCTTTGTTATTACCTCTTGAAAAAAATCATTTGAAATCTTGGCGGAATTATCTAAACGTTTTAGGCAAACCAATTCCTCACGGCCACTCCTTTTCCATTCTTGATTTTTATGATTCCAAGACTTTATATATCCGCCAATCCAAGTAGCCTTGAAAATTTCTCCAAATCCACCCCTAGCGAGGAATTCTATATTTTGAAATTTGTCATAGGGTATCCACTCAATAAATTCTTTGTAATTTTTTGCTTCAAGTTGCGCCTCTTGTATAAACCTGTCGATTTCTTTGTTTCCACTTGTCCATTTACCAAATTCCCCTTCAAATCTTTTGGAATTACAAGGATTGCACCACCAAATGTATCCAGTGTTATCTTGTTGGCACTCTTCACACCTTCCAAACACATTGACCGACGATTGGCTATTCATACGGAGTTGAACAGAGAGAATCACTGAGCATGCATGCCGTATAAAAAAAAAATTTTTTTTTTGTACATATATTACTGTACACGTGGTAAATTACTCACACACGTGGCACAATTACATATTACCTTAACAAGATAGTTCATACAGTATGTCGCCTGGATTTACTGTATACTGTATTGGAATTGTGTAAATACATACGTAAATTGTTATTCATGCAAATTCTCGACTTTCGAATTTACTACGGTATCTGATCAATTAAGCTTACCTGTCCAATATATTGTATACTGTATTTTCTGTCTCCGTCCGGCATAAGTTACATGTCTTGAATAAAGATAGTTTTTTAGTTTACTGTACGATATTACAATTATTGTATTGATTCTCAATAAAGCAGTTATGATGATTTGTCAAAATAGAAATTGAATTATTTTTTTAAAAAAACAAACATTTGATTATCACGAATGTTTTCTTCTTATTTTAATATATTCCATTTCATTTTATATAAACTAGTACAAAAGTATTTTGCATGTATTCATTATTAAATGCATAAAAAAATATCTGTGTACAAACGTTAAGTTGTTTCGGCTGCGGACAATAACATATGTACCATATGCAAAAGAGTTCATACTGATTCGGTTAAAATGAAATAATTCTATGAATCACTATCCCTTTCATTTTCCATGCGAATTGCTTCTTCTTCTTCAGGTGAAAAATCTTTTACTGCGTTGAATGTAGAACGAATTTCTTCTGGTGACTTTTCTTTGATCATGTTTGCAACAGTTTTGCAACCACAATCTCTGCCGAGAAATACAATGGGTAAGAAATGATGATTATATGATTGAAAAGATGATGGTGTACCATATGATCGTAGCAAAGAATAAAAACATACATTAATTTCTGGATGCCCAAGTAGTTAGCAGCCTGATAATTTAGGTATTTAAGTAAAGAAGAAAACAAACAAGTCACCAAAAGCTACCCAAAAAAATTCTATATACAACAATAATATCCAATAATTACATGCCACAATGATATTAAAAAGCATATCCTGTTCGACAATAAAGAACCTTGCTATCCAAGCGTCCATCTCATCATCATCATGGTTTTCAGCATGATACTCGCACCACTCGAGAATCTAATTCTCAATTAAAGGTTACATATTAGATTTTTATCATTTATAATTGTTAATTGTTTATTTATTTGCGTTAAACGCGTCACCTTTCTAAATATTTTTTCGTCGATATTCGGAAGTGGAATTGATTGTCCGGTCTCATTAACATCTTAAGTAAATGAATTCATTATTTATTTTGGTTTTACTTTCATAACCTTTCCAATTATCATCGTGATATCCTACTTCTACTCTATCCGTATATGAAAGAATGAAATACACACCTCCAAATAAGTCCCCAAATAAAACACGAGCAATTGGCATTTCAACTTTGAATTCAACATTATCATTAGTGACTACTGTGACATTCATATTTTCGATTTCCGCAGGATCAGTGTCGTTGTTCATTTTGATTTTTCTTGCTTCTAAAATATAGACCTTAATGCGTGGATTGAATGATATTTCATGTAACGTACAATACTGCTTATTTTTATACCTCAAAAAAGAGAATCGAATGTGTCCCATAAAAGGAAAACCGTATAGACCATATGACACTTTTCCGAGTTTTGTTTATTGCATCCAAACATGGTAACGACAATAGAAAAAGGGTACACATTGCACAAAGTGTACAATGTAGAGTACAGTACAGTACAGTACTCTATATCAAGGCTATTCCATATTCTTCAAATTAAACAAAATACAGTGAATATGAATTTCTCGATTCACGCTATATTCTCTTGCACGGATTTATTATACATTGTTACGGCGATCGAAAATATAAAAAACGATATAGCATACATTACAATGTTGGTAATTTTTATTGTATTATTCGATTAAATTTTGACATTATATGTGCTTCATTTTTTTTTTATTTTTCAAATAGTACTAGTATTCTTGTAAGTATGTTGTTAAGAAAGAATATTTCTTGTTTTTTTTTTTAGAATTTCCATTAATAAACATATCAAAAATTAGATAGCAATAACAAACTGATGTTGGATTATTCTATATTCATACCTATTATATTATGTCAAGTAAGATCATTTTTATCTATTTTTTAAATTTCCAAAAATCAAATATCATTTCAAACTATTACTATACTGTATATTCATCAAATAATTTAAAAATTCGAATTAAATTGATTGAAATATTTTACGATTTTGAAAATTCATCAAAGCATTAAATATTTTAATGTTTTTTTACCGAAAATTAATGATAAATAAAGAAATGGGCAAATAAGATATTAAACAAATTATATCGCCACATTTATACAATATTACAATATATATATATATATACTTTAATTTCACGATATTGTTTGATTTTACAACTATTTATAGTATACAGTATAACTTAATCCCGAATGTTTTCGAGTATTTGTCATGAAATATAAATTTATTGCTATTGTAATCACTAAATATACAGTATTAAGCCCTTTAATTACGATCAAAAATTGATTTTCAAAGTACCTAAAATTCGGAATTATCCAGGTCCATTAATCTTGAGTCTGTAAAGTAGAATTTATTAATGCAGTACTGTAAAGTTCAGAAATGCGTGAACATTAGTATATTCACCTGTATTGACATCCGACAACAATTCGTGTACTCTTGCATAATTCGGAACATTAGTTGGTTGTGGTAAATTTGAAAAACTTAAAAGTCTACTAGTATAAATAGCATTTGGGTGCGTTTTATAATTAAGCTCCAAGAAGTTATTGTTTAACAAATTGTTCGAAACTTCACTTTCGTAATTTTTAACTTGTTCCTTAAAATCCGAAGGGCCATCACCTTCGATCAATTCGGTCCATTCGTTTATGATTTTATGCACTTGCCAAGCACTGGGTCGATATTCTGGTTCCGCATCCCAACATTTCATTATTAATCTAACTAAAAATTTAGGAGTCTTAAATGGAATTTTTGGGCGTAAGCCTTGACAGATTTGTACAGTAAGATCTCGGCCATGAGAAATATTATAGTATGGAGGAAATCCTGTGATCATTTCATATGCTACGATTCCAAATGAATAAACATCTGCTGCTGGTGTGTAAGCATGACCGCACAAGACTTCTGGAGCAATGTACGGAAGAACTCCATAAATTTTTCTACGAGTATCATTTTCAAGAGCTTTATCAAATAATTTACAAAGACCCAAATCTGAGATACTTGGCCGTAAATAACGATCGTATAAAATATTTCCAGGATGAAAGTCTCTATGAACAAATTTCTTCAAGTGCATTTCACTTAGACCCAATGAGATAATACTTAATGAATATAATTTAAATTCCAAATTCATCTTATAAAAATTTTGATCCAAATAATTCCTGAGGCTGCCATTTTCTTGAAAATCAAAAACCATCATATAACTTAATGACTCTGATTGTTGCGTAATCCCATAACATCGGACAAATCTAAAATCCCACATAATAGAATGTTTCTCAATCTAAATTTAAAATATATTATATTAATACAATTATAATTTAAAATCAAAAGAGAAAGTTTACTACTATTACTTCATTTATAAGGTCCTCGACTGAGCAAAGCTTATCTAAGCTTTTTAATGCTACTTTTATATTATGATATCTAATCCATTCCTTGTTGTGAATATCCCATTTTCCAATAAACCCATTTTCCCATGTTGCAGAATACACTGTGCCGTATCCTCCTTTAGCAATATATTTGACATCTTGAAATTGTGTATACGGTATCCATTCTAATATCTCATATTTAATCGTAGCTTGAAGCTGAGACTTTTTTAAAAATCCGTCAATTTTTTTATTTCCACTTGTCCATTTGCCAAAATCTTGTTGAAGGTGAATTCTGTTACATGGTGTACACCATTCTAGTATGTATTTTTTATTGCATTCGAGACAATCAAGCGATTGCATAATTGTCTACTTAAATTTAAATTTTTTCACTAAATATATTGCACATTACAAAACGTTGCACAGACACATGACTTTGTTTTTTGAGCTAGAGTATTTTTTTTAAGTAGTGACACCCACGTCATTCTTTATTTGATGAAATAGAAAGTATATGTATTTAGTTTATAATTTTATAAATTTGTTACACTGTGCCTTAGGTTATTTACTATTAAATAAAATTACACTTATGTTTATTTCATTGATTATCATGATATTTTACTTTATCTGGCATTTTATAATGAACAGTATACAAAATATTGAATGTATTCAGAAATATGCATGAATTATTGGCAATATTACTAATCATTACATTTCGTAATACTGATATTTCTAGTATGTAATTACGTTTTAACTAATTATAAATATTACAATGTTTATAATAATATTTATTAATAATGATTTTATCATCACTTTTTTGTTTTTTTTCTGTTAAGTTATCTTGTTCATCAAACAATTGATTAATATTAACTTCTTTGAACAGTCTTTTGGTATGCAAACTTGATGCTTTTACAAATCCTTTTGGTAACTATAAAATTAATAAATAGAAAAAGTTTTAAAAAATCGTTAAAAATTAAAATAAATATATTAATATACCTTTTCATTATTTATTTCACAATCGATTTTATCATTCGTTTTATTATTCTAAAAAAAAAAAAATTTAATAATTTTAATAATTTATTTTTAAAAAAAAAATAACTTACTTGATTAGAATTATCAACTAATTTTTGAATAACGGAGGTAAGAATTTTTTTTTTTTTATCATTATTTATTTTTATATAATTTCTAATACCCGAAGAAGAAATATGTCCAGATATTGCCATTGCTTCTAATTCTTCGTTTCCAGCATCAAATATAGATTGTATCGATGTATCGCGACCCAAATGGTTGGAAATATTTCGACCATTAATATTAATTCCGCAGACAGTACAAATTTCTTTAAATAAACCAGAAATTCGTTTTTCTCCTAATGGTTTGTCATAATACCATAATCCTTTTGAAATCACTAAATTAAAATAAAATAAAAATTAAAAAAATAATTTATAAATTTAATAAGCAAATATTATACTTACTTGATGTATTTTGCGAAATTCCCAAATAAAATTCTTTAGATTTACCATTTGGTGGTCTTAAAGAAATAAATTTACGAATATCTGCATTAGGTTCAGCTTGATTTGGAATATCTTTTGGAAACGGAATTTCGAGGTCATATTGATTTCCTTCAATACCACCTTGATCATTTTTTTGTTTAAATTTTCGAAATATAAACTCTTGATTTGTATCTATAAATTGTGAAACTAATAGATTCTTATGTTTGTCACCACGAGGACAACCAAAGAGACACATCCAAAGAAAAACATAATGAAAAAGACCTTCAGGATTATTTGAAGATAATTCTTCATAATATAAAATAAGTTTTAATTCTTCAGTTGTAATTCCATTGTAAGATTTTGTTATTCCTATTCCTAATTTTTTCATCTCTTTTAACATTCTATCAAGAGTTGCAAAAATATTAGAAAAATTGCTTTTATTTAATAGATTATATTGCCAGTCAGATTTTGCATCACGTAGATGTCGACTAATTGAAGCCACAACATTTTTCAAAGAAGATTGTAAATAATAATTGCCTTTTAAAATATAAACTCCACAAATAAATTCACAAACTTTCTTTTCAAGTTGTGATTTATTTGTAACCGATTCAAGTATATAATTGTATCCAACATTAACATGATTTCGCCAAGCATTCATAATTTTAACCTACTTGTTGATCACTTAATAGTATTTTGAGAAATTCAATTTTTTTGTATTTTTTCCAGTTCGGCTATAGTTGATTTAAAATAATTCATGTTTAAAAATAAAAAAAAAAAATTAAAAAGCATTAAATAAAAAAAAAATCAAAAAGTTTAAAGTAAAAAAAAATGATATATGCCAGATAAATGAGTTATTCGGCATTCGATACCAAATAACTTCACCATTTAAAGGTGGTTTACATATCTGGCAACTGATTTGATTGATGATTCTGGGCTCCAAAGGAGCCCAAAATTAACTAATCAAATTGCATTTGCCCAATACTACAGTTATTTGGCACTGCATGCAAAATAACTAATTAATATTAGTTATCTTAAAGACTTTTGAGTTTTTAAACAGGAGCTTACATGTAATAAAAAAAGTAAAATATTTTTTCTTGCTTAGAATTACTATAAAATAAATTTTTTTAGCAAACTAGCCACAATTATAAGAAAGTTTTTTTAAAAAAAAATCTAATATTATTGATTAAAAAATTATATTTTTAGTAACAAAATACTAATAAATTTAAACTTTAATTAACAAAAATGTTTATAATTAAAAAAGAAATTTTTTAAAATAAAAATAAATAACATTATAAGAAAACAAAAAAGAAAAACTCAAAACCAACTATTTAAAATTATATATAAATATAAAATTGAAATAATATTTTATTTAATGTATAATTATTTTACTGGTATATATTTAAAAATTGATAATATATTTAAAAAAACTGGCAATATTTTTAAGAAAATCAATAACCAATACTACTGGTTTCAAATATTTGAAAATATCATATTAAAGATTTTATTTAATTATATGATTAATGTCAAGAATATAAAAGATATAAAATACCAAAATTTTTATATTTAATTTTTGCTGAAAAACTCTATTCAAAATTAATATAAATATTGTAAAACTCTTATTACAGTAGTTATTAAACAAGAAAACAAATATATTATTATTGTAATAGATTACTTTATCAAATAGTCTGAAGTATAAATGATTTTTTGAAACTACTGAATAATATATAACAGAATTTATTTATCAAGTTATTATTTGAAAATATAAATATTTAAAACAAATTTTATTTGATAAAGAAATTTATTTTCAAAATAAAATTGTATGTAGATTATTTAAAAAATTTGAAATAAACCATTTATTTTTTATTATTTTCAAACCAATAGATTAGTTAAATAATTTAATAAAACTTTGTATAAATTATTTGCAAAGTTAATTAAAAACTCTTTCCGCTAATTCTTTTGCCAACCCAAAAAACAAACATTCTTAAAAGACCTTTTGTCTTTATGATAATAAAGTCTATATACTTTCCTTAAAAACAATACTGGTTTTAACCAGCCAAGCGAGCATAAGCTACCACTTGTTTTATTTTTCTTTTTCAAAACACTTTTCTTGTTTACTTTTTCTGTGGCTGATGTGATCAACCAATCTGTGACCTTGACCAATCATCTTTCAGGTGATCCAGTGTAACCAAAAATTCAGGGTCAAACTGAGGTAGACAAAATTCTTCAGAAAAACCAGAAAAAAGGAAGCACGCTTGAGAAAAAAGAAGTGGGAAGCCAAAAAGATGATGGAAAGACTGGAGACT